ATTGTTTTTCATGATCTAAATTACTATTAATGAATTTCGGTGGTTTTTCGAAAATTCAACAATTTTTGCAAGAAATATACTTAACCATTTGTTAATAACTAATAATATAAATAAACATTATACATTAAATCAAAATTTCAAATATTTGCTCGATTTTAATTCTTAATTTTGAAATTTATGGAGGTCCGTATAGGCAACTCCCAGAATTTGTATTGCAGCAGTTGAAACGGTTGCATATACTGAAAACTATTTAAAAATATTTTTCTTAATTATAAAGCTGTTATTAAATAAGAATTATTGTTTTTCATGATATTATTGTATATGTCTATAAGAAATAAAACAGAGATTAGCTCACTAATTATCTTTTATTTTAAAATGAATAAATACCACTAAACTCAACTGTAATAATATTAAAAAAATGTAGTTCTTTTACAAAACTTTTTTTCTTTTCTTTCAAAATGAATAAATAACAAACTAAACAGTAACAACATTAGAATACAGTACAATTTTTATTAATGTATTTTCAAAATAAATTAAATATATCACTCTCTATTGTACTGTTTTATGTTGTGTTGCTTTGTCTTATTGTTTTCTTTTTACTACAGCTCACATTATTACAAAGAGACCCAAGAATACGGCATTCTAAAATTCGATTTTAAAAACATATTTTAATCTTTTCCAGGCAATCTTTTCCAAACAATCTCTTCAGACAGCAGCATCTTTAAATGCCATGGTAATTACAGCTTTTTGATGTCCAGCATATTCCCTTTCCATTGCTCCAGTTTTCACATTCCAAAGCTTTGCATAGCCATCAGATGATGCAGTGAAAACATATTGGGAATCAGAACTGAAAGCTGCATCCCAAACCCACCTCTGGTTGTCATGTTTCAATTCCTGTTGCAAGGAAAAGTCGCTGGTTTTCCAAATCCTTGCAGTTTGATCTGATGATGTTGTTACAAGTAGATTGGAATCAGGACTAAATTTACACTTTAAAGCGTGACGTTTGTGAGCGTCAAACTTGGTCTTAGGACTTGTTTTGCTGGGCTCTCCATCCTTTGCAGGAGTAAGACTCCAAATATAGCATCTTCCCTTAGAATTAACTGCTGCCATAAAATTACCACTTGCATCAACATCAACGTCTAAAATCATCGTTTCACCGTCTGGTATAAATTGTTCATTATGGTCAGTTCTTAAGTCCCACAAATGTAAAACACCACTTTGGTCTGCCACCAACAGTTCCACTTGGTTAGGATGAAGACAAACTGATGTTACAGGAGCTGATGTTTGAAATATTTTTGCTGCGTTTCTGTGTGTTTTCGCCCTATAGTCCCATATACGAGCACTGCAGTCTTCTCCGCCAGTAAACATCCATTTACAATCCTCTTGGAAGCCAACACTAGTAACATTCTTTGACAAACCCTCGTAATTAATAACAGGATTGGGGTTATTTGAAGTTAAGTCGTACATACGAATCCGCTGATATCCTGTGGCTGCGAGTAACTGCTTATTGGGGGTGATTTCTAAAGCATTCACTTGGGACTCTGCATGTTGCATCGTTCTCTGGCAAATACCTGTATGTGTTTGCCATATTTTTATTGTATGATCGTAACCTCCCGTTGCAAGAATAATTTGTGAATTATCACTATTGCTGTTGAGGACCATTTTCCTTTTATTTCCAAATTATTCGTATTTCTAAGGTTATGTCATTATCATAAGCATAGATAATATATTATCTATGGATAATATCATAGGTCATTATTTACCATTGATTTACCGTTAAATTTTGAAGGTTTTCTAGTCTAGGGTTATGCCAGAGAAGTATGTCAACCATTGATTATTATCATAGATTATCATCATTTGATATGGGATATCTATGATATCCAGCTTGTTTTTCGCGCCATTTGGTGTCTATGGCTGTTTTCTCATATACATTAAATCAAAATTTCAAACATTTGCTCGATTTTAATTCTTAATTTTGAAATTTATGGAGGTCCGTATAGGCAACTCCCAGAATTTGTATTGCAGCAGTTGAAACGGTTGCATATACTGAAAACTATTTAAAAATATTTNGATTTACCGTTAAATTTTGAAGGTTTTCTAGTCTAGGGTTATGCCAGAGAAGTATGTCAACCATTGATTATTATCATAGATTATCATCATTTGATATGGGATATCTATGATATCCAGCTTGTTTTTCGCGCCATTTGGTGTCTATGGCTGTTTTCTCATAACTTCTCGTTATAATTGTTTTGTTTGTTGAGTTTCTGTTGAAATTGTTTAAATAAATTAATTATAAAAATGTCAGGACGGGGAAAAGGTGGAAAATCTAAAGGCAAGCAGAAGACCCGATCGAATAGAGCAGGATTACAATTTCCAGTAGGAAGAATTCATCGACTTCTTCGTAAAGGAAATTATGCAGAACGTATTGGCGGTGGGGCCCCCGTCTATTTAGCGGCTGTTTTAGAGTATCTAGCAGCAGAAGTATTAGAATTGGCTGGAAATGCTTGCAGGGACAACAAGAAGACCAGAATAGGACCACGCCATTTACAATTAGCAGTAAGAAATGACGAAGAACTGAATAAACTTCTATCAGGTGTTACCATTGCTCAAGGTGGAGTATTACCCAACATTCAGGCAGTACTGTTACCTAAAAAGACGGGTTCTACCACCACTGCAGCCAAACAAGTTAAAACTCAATCTCAAGATTATTAAAAATAAGTTTTCATAATGTAGTTTGCTGTTTAATGATCAAATGTTATGTAAGTATTTTCGTAAATAAAGCTGCCTTTTTTTGGTAATTTTTTGCTTATTTATTGTAAAGAGAAACTTAAAATAAGGTAAATTATTTAGAAATACCAGGAAAACAATGTCAGTTCTTGTTAGCAGAAACAGTTAATTTTTTCAATTTCATGCACAACAAATTTAAGACTAGAATTGTATTAACAGTTGCACTAATATTATTTAAAAGTAAAGGCATAAAAAGGCCTTTAACATTTTAAATGCTGTGTCTCTTGGGTATTTGAAACTACACTAAACAGTCAGTAAAGTGTTTTTATAAATAAAATTGTCCTTTTTAAGTAATCTGATTTATTATAAATTATAGAAAGAAAAATTAAACTAGAGAACTTCAAAACACAGGCAAACTAGAGCTAGTACCAGGAGCAATAGTGATTTCTTCAGTTTGTCCTGCAGCTTCTCCCCTTCTAGGGCTCTAAAAAATGATAAAACTTAAAAAGATATACACACAGACAAAATAAGGGAACTTACCCTCACTTGAATTTTACTTTTCAATACTGCTGCTCTCAGTATAAGCATTCTAGTTCTTCTCTGGTATTCTTTGCCCATTTGAAGGCTCTTTTCAAAAGTGGTGCTTCTCTGATCCACATCTTTAGCAAAAAGAATTTTATTGTGTGAATCTATCCTTGCCTGTATCTGTCCATCTAAAATAAGCTGCATAAGCTCATCTTCTAAAGCAGTAACAGTTCTGTTGAAAGCTGAAGCCATTTTATGCATATCTGCAGACAGATACGGACTAAAGTATTGAATCAATGCTCGATTTCTGATCTGAGTGTACAAGGTATTGATGTGTGGCGCAATGTACATGTCTAGCAATAAGTTGTCTTTAATTTCATCCAACAGTTTCAGGCAGGAGGCATATTTTGATTCATAGAACTTAAAGATAATGTCTCGTAGCTGTGGTTCCAATTCTAAAAACAACTTAAATGAGCTACTAAAAATTACTTTCTTTTGTAATTCATGTCTATCAAAGGTTGCAAGGGCGCACAGGCCTCCGTACATAGCCACGTTATTAGGAGACAAGAGCTCTGGGAAATCGCAATGGTCTAAATTAGCTAGCAAGAAGTGTTTGGCTGCAGATTTGTATTGTCTTGTTGCTAACTCTGCCAATCCTGCAGCACATTTCAATTTAGTTAGAATAACTTGGTTGGAATCTTTGGCTGTTGATTCTGTAAAGTCAGGGGTACTTTCTGCCTTGGAGACATAGCTCAATACATGAGACCAATTTTGCAAATATACTGACACTTTAATTACGTTCAAGCACATGTTGATTACGTGCTTGCCACTGGTGCAATAATCTCTAGCCCTTGAGTAGCATTTTAAGGCACTTGAAAGGTCCCCACAGTCCAAATAATGATCACCCAGATCATCATGACCTCTTCTTATGCTCTCCTTTATAGAATTTGATTTGTAGTTTTTTAAATCATTATCTAATTTCTCTAGCTTATGGGCTGCTTTCTTGGACATGGTCTCCATCCAAGACTGATCAATTGTAGGTATGTCTTGTGACGTGGATTGGGATGCCACATCTGGTAACCCAGAACAACTTGTCAGTTCTGCAAGTTTTTGATGTAACACTTGATATAAACCTACATTGTATGTGGTCATGACATAAGATATTGCCATCTTCAGGGCTTCTAAACGAAGGGAAGGACAGTGATCTACGATATACATAAGGCGGTAGAGCTTTGCTAAGCCTGTGTAGCTGTTAGCGTAAGCCTCTAAATCTAAAGTGGGATTTTCAACAACATAATTTTCTTCTTCATTGTTTTCATTGTCTTCAGGTGGGGCATCCACTTGCATAGGCTCGATTGCATTCTACAAAATATTAAATAAAATAATACTTACGTAAATAAATAACAATTTATCATTCTAACCTGAAACAGAGGGTCTTGCAATTGAAGTGGCATCTTTATGACAGTTTCCCTCACTGTCCAAATACTTTAAATATTTATAAGAGTACGAAAGAACGAACAATTATATTTTTCTTTTTAAAACAACTGTTTATAATATATTTAAAGTAGTTCAGCAATTATTTTCTTCATACAATTAAATAGAAACATCATTACCTACCTCAACAAATGTCAACAACAAACTGTAAAATCTAAAATAGGCAACACAAAAGACACTTGAGCATAAGGTAACATAACTTCCAGGTCCAAAAAATATTAATAAATAAATTCACGTAACCTCAAAAAACGAAACATCATAACCTCCTTTGCCGCATCAGAGAAAAGCGTGTATTTATAAATTTATTAACTAATTTATACCTCCGTGAAGCGTTTTATTCGCCGAGAGGATAATAATGGTAAGTAAAGAAGATTCTGATATAATTTTAACATGCTAGTTAGAAATATTAAAAAACGTACATTTAACGTCTCATGTTCAGAGACAGCGTGGTCAATACAAGTCCGTTTTAATACATACGCAGAGACTAAATTTATTTTCCTTTTCCATATTTATGTATTTTACAACCATATGTATTAATAACTGCAGGCAGAAGAAGTAAATCCTAAAGCTTATCCCCTGGCTGATGCATCATTGACATCTAAGATATTAAACCTTGTACAACAAGCTCTGAATTATAAACAACTCAGAAAAGGGGCCAATGAAGTTACCAAAACATTGAACCGTGGCATAGCAGAGTTTATTGTAATGGCAGCTGATGCTGAACCATTAGAAATCTTACTGCATCTCCCTTTACTTTGTGAAGACAAAAATGTACCATATGTTTTTGTCAAGTCAAAACAAGCATTAGGACGAGCCTGTGGAGTCTCCAGGCCAGTTATAGCTTGCAGTGTTACTGTAAATGAAGGCTCACAACTTAAACCACAAATCCAGACAATACAAACAGAAATTGAACGTTTGTTAGTGTAGAAGTAAAGTACAATGTGTAATCTTTTTTTATATTATCTAATAAGAATACTTAATTACTTGTAAGTATGTAATTGCTAATAAATAAGTGATTTCATTCCATTTTTTACTGATTTATTTAAAATTAAGAGTAAGGTAATGTTTTATTAGACAACAATATTGTATTAGAAAAATATAATACATCCATATTTTTAATTGAAAACATGATAGACTGTTTGGTCCCAATTTTCTTTCCATCTGAGTTGTTGAAAAGTTTCAAGCTCTAATTTAAATTTATAATTTAACTCCTTTTGTTTAGGACTATTTGGAAAATCAGTAAACCAATTAATGAAAATCTTAGACAGGTCATCCGACGATTTAAAAGTAAATCCGTTTTTTCCATCAACTACCAATTCATTTATGCTAAAACGAAATGTTATAAAGAAAATGTTCAATTGCTTAAATCAATAAATAAATTACCAAGCAAATTCAATAGCACAAACTGGTAAACCACAGCCAAACATATCAACAACCTTCATTGGTAAATCGAAACCACTTGAGCTTTTATGCAAACAGACCCCCAAATCAGCAGATGCCAACATAAGGGAATAATCTTGGAACTCTAACCATGGCATTATAAATGTTACTTTTTTAAAATTGTTTGTTGCAATTTTATTTTTATAAAACGCTTTCAATGGGCCTTTTCCTGTTATAATGCAAACCAGTGTGGGTAAATTAGAATTCTCATTGCAACTATTTTCATAGCCTACAAATTGAATGCAATAAGACTTTTAAAACAGGAAACTTTAAGATGATTTGGTATTTTATACTTTGTAATGCACTGAAAAGAACTGAAAAATCTTCATCTTCTGTCCAACTTGTGCTTGAAATAATTAATCCAGGTCTTTTGGAATTTTGTTTAATATTTCCTAACTCATCTGCTTCTGTAAATGCTGTTAAAAAGTCTATTTCTGATGAGAAGTTATTGTAAACGGTGCTAATTCTACTAAAAAATTCATGTTTCTCTTTTAAAGAAATTGGTTTAAATATGTCTGGAGGACGGTCATATAATACTGTGGCTCTAAAAAGAAAAACAACTTACTTAAAATAATGCCAGCTTATTCACATTTACGACTTACTTTATATTGATCCAAATCATGAGGTCATCTTTCATAGCTTTGGTAACACAAAAATTAGCAGATGCTCTACTTCCACAAAACTGTTCAATTTTCTTAGTCAATTTCACTAGAGGATGATTAGGGCCATTAGTTAAGCTCATAATACTGTATGCATAGTTATGCCAATCAATAATATACTTGGCACTATAAACAAAGGAATAAAACCAGCACACCAACAAAGCTGGAACAGCAGGAGGATTTTGGACCAATACAAAATGTGGTTTCCTTATTATTAATAAAACAAATAATAATGTAACGATTTGCCACAATGTTTTGAAAAGGTAATTCATTAGTCTTGGAAGAGGAACGTTGGGGTAAGGCAGCAAATAGTGCAAGCTGACTAAGGGGGCTGATTCCAGCTGGCTTAAGGGTTTGGTTTCTTTATAGCCCACGATATCAACTTTGTGCCCATGCTCAGCTAACGATAAGGAATGATACTGCATCCGAGGACTTCTCCCTATATCTCCTAGAACCACCACCACAATATTTTTGCGATTTTCATCCATAATAGTTTATAACAAATTTCTTAATTCAATCACAAAAAGTTGGGTTATAATTGTTTTCAAGGTCACAATTGTCATTACAGAAGGAAGTCATGTTGGTTGCATACACTTCAGGTTCATATATTTTTAAATTGGTGGGAAACCGTTAACAAATTGGGTTAAATGTCAGTTAAATGTCCTTTAAATTAAAAAAAAGGTTTTGTTTGTGTTTCATTATTCTTAAAAATGTCTCAGCCTTCTGTTACTACTTATTTTAATAGTAGGAAACGCTCAGCTTTGGAAGAAAGTAAAGTGAGTCGTGCTAAAAAAGTTTTAATCTTGGACAAAAATTCATTAAAAACTGAGTTAAAGTGCTTAAAGGAACTTCATAATGAATCCATTAGTGTTATCTCTTCATCAGATAAAAACATCGATTCTTCTCCTAAAATTGTTACACGTGAGATTAAAATAAAAACGGCTGAAGACTTGGAAGAAGGACTTACAAAGAAAACGTGTCTTCAATCAAAGCCAGCAAAAATGCCAACTAAACATAGGAAATTAAAAGAACTCCCAAAGCAGTCTAGAATACAGGAAATGTTTAATAAAATGGCTCAAATGCAACAGGAAGAAGTCACAAAAGTAAACCCTGAAGACTTTGAAACCGTAAAACATGTCACCCCACCTTCCACACCTACCAAGTCTACATCAATATTTCAAAATAAAATTAATAGTGCAGGTCAACCTTCTCTGCAAGAAATTAGACAGAAAATAGTTACCAGTTCCAAATGTAGCAAATTGAAACAATCCCTAGCTCGTTTTAAAGAAGCCAGTTCAAAATTAGAAGAACAAGAAAAAAAGACTGCTGCTCTTAAATCACCTTCATTAAAGACCTTTCAAACAATTAATTTGGAAGTTAATTTAAGGTATTTTGTTTATTGTTCTTTTATTGAATGTATTTATATTTTGACTTAATATTTACAGCCCCCAAAAAGTGCTGTCGCCAGAAAAAGCTTATTTGAGCCCCAAAAAGAACAGTACATCTGCCAAACGCAACATATTGGGATCATTAAGTCCCACAAAGCACAGTGTGGCTGGGCTTACAGCAGAAAGAAAAAAATCATTAGAAACTCCAGCAAAGGAATCCTTGACTCTCCCATACAAATATCGTTTCTTGGCTGAGATCTTTCGTGCTTTAGACACCGTTTCACAGCTCCTTTTTAATAGAAAAGAAACCATAACATTCAATAAATTGAAGCCTGCTGTAGAGAAGATTTTAAAACGAAATTTTTCAGAAAAACATTTAGCCCAAATAAAGACGATCTATCCAGAAGCTTTTGACTTTCAAAAGTGCAAAATTAGATCCTTTGGGGCTGGCCTTAACTCAAATAATTGGGAGCTAACTGTTACACCTTCCATTAATGGAGACTTCATGACTTCTGAACTGATTCTTGAAAGAAGACGTAAACTATTTAGTATACTAATTGAAAAATTAAAAGATTACCATGCAGAGTTCTTGCAAACCCTAGACCCCCCGCTGGAAATTCCCCGTGAAGTAATTAAAAGGTGGCATCCCCTGTTTGATCTAGAAAAAGTCCCCGACATCGAGCCTTCGCCTTTACCGGAACTTCCCAAAGAAGAAAAATTAACAAGTGGACAAGAAGTTTTGGAAAAAGCTAAAGTTTTATTCAGTTGCAACACTCGCATGGAAAGAGCATTGCAAAGACTTAAAGAGGCACAAGGAGATAGTCCAAAGCCTGTTGCAACTGTTACAGAAAGCAACTCAATCCTAAAAGGGATCCCAAAAGCTCTTTTAGAAAAAGTACGCCAACGACAAGCAGCTAAAGCGCTAGATACAATAACGAGGAGCGAAACGAAAGAAAAAGAATTACAAATGTACACCAGGTTACCAGAAATTGCTAGAATTATAAGAAACTTGTTTGTGGCAGAAAAGAAGAATGTTTTACCCTTTGACACTGTCCTTTTAGGCTTGGACAATAGTATACATTCGTTTCTGAATAAAAAAGGTTTAGAGGAACATGTAAGACTGTTAGCCAAAGAAGCTCCCGATTGGTTGACCTTCCTGACCTTACGAGGGACAGTCTACATAAAAATCGTTAAAAATGCTGACTTGGCTGTTGTCATTAAGAAGTTAGATGAACTTATAAAAATTAAAAGCGAGTTCTGATTAAAGTTTTTAATCTTCTAATAGACTCGCAACGTATTTGTGTTTTTTGTATTGTTTGTCTTATTAATGTTATAATTTGTTACGATTTGTGACCTCCGATAATTAATATATAAGCCTTAATACCCTAATCAAAGTAATTTTGTACTTGTATCATCAAAAATATATAACATATTTTGTTTTAGTCAGAATAAACGCATGATTTTTGTAACTAATGAGTTTCACTAATTACTTGATCGTTAATGTCTTAGATTAATCAGTATTTACTTAAAAATAAAATGCTGGTGGGTGAGTAGTCCCTCTAACATACAGTCTGGTACAAAGCTGGAGGGAAGGGCGGAAGGCCCTCTTCGGTCTCATTTTGGAGTTGATTTAAATAGGTGGATGGAGAATTAATATGTTACATTTTTTGCGACTACTTCTCTTTAATATATTTATACATCAGGTGTCTCATGCCAGGGTGGTTCCCCTACAATATCCTGTATTTTTGGTCAAGGGTTTTTAAGTGTATATTACGTCTAAAGATGATTTACATGTAGTTATTGAAAAGGAGTAAGACATATAATTTTAAAATGAGATTCAAAAAATTCTAATAAGTGGATACTCCGTATAAAACAGCAAAGAGACACCTTGTATATATGAACATTAAAAAGCAAAATGATAGACCTTGTTAACTAAAAATAAAATGTACTGATTGTTATAATGGCTAATTTTTAATTATTTTGCGTTTATCAGGACTTAATATATCAATAAATAAGATTATTAATAATTAAATTATTGGAAAGTTCTGAACGTATATCTTTTTTTCCTCACCCTGTATATAATGTTATGGAAGGGAATGAAATGACAGTGATGTGTGCGTGTGTGTGTGATGGTGATACTAAAATAAAACAAATAATTTCCTTGATAAGGTTTGTTTTGTAAATCGTTTATAAACATGTGTGAAAGTCGAGAATCAGCGATAAGGAAAGCTCAACAATCAATATGTTTGGAAAAAACTAATACGGCAGTTACAATTCCACATTCCTTGAGAAATATGCGGATGGTTTGAATGTAACCTATAATTTGGGATAATATGGATTCAGGGCTGGGAAGTGACGATGAACGTAGACATCGTACAAAAGAACAGAAACAGCAGCAAAATCAGCAGAGGCAGCTTTTTAGTAGTTGTTTTATAGATGCTTCCACCCTAGGCGACGAATCGGACCAAGATATTCCACCAAACGATGAGCGAAGTCAGGGTTCGCTTATTTTTCAAAATTCCATTAAACAATATTCCATGTTACAAATGGACCATCCTAGAGCACTTTTCTGTGGAAATGCGTCGTCATCGGTGGAAACACATGTCGAAAACGAGCCTGCAACACCCTTCAATTCGATAGTGCAAGTTGAGAGTGACACCACAGAAATATCTCACCGAACACCAGTAGGCTTTTTTGTTGATCTAACTACTATAGAAGAACCACCCTCGTCAATAAAGGAAACAAAAGAGAAGCAGAAAAACTTGTTTTCATTGGTAATTGATTTCAAAGAACCTAAGAGAGAAATGCCCAGTAAATTATCCGATTCCCTTTACAACAGACACAGAGCTAAGAGTAAGTACCAAAAAACATTTGTAATAACACTTATAGTGAATAAACATTATTAACCATAATTTAAATAGTAAACATTTACAAGATTATAAACAATTGGTCAGTGTTTATTGATTTGTTTATTTGTTAGAGAAAACAACAAAACAAGAGAAAGAAATTTCATCTTCTAAGTCTTCTCTAATTAGTAAAGACAGTAATAGCAGTAGAAAATCTTCAACCTCTAGTTTGCCTGTTAACATTTCCCAAAATTATCTACCACAAAGCAGTTGTTTTAATCAAGTGCATATACAGAAGAATAATGGTGCTGATACAGCTTCTTTAACGAGCTTAACAGACAAGTACAAAGCGACATGTTCACATGACAATAACTGCTCTCTTGGCTTAGCAAATAACAGTAGTAGCAGTAGCAGTGGGGACAACAGCAAAAACAACAGTAACACTTCAGCTGATAATGTTAACACAAGCGATGATACCAGCAGTTCGAATGGTTCTGATTCATATGAAACAAATACTAAAGAAACTAATCTTGATGATAAAGAGGACAGTCCCCCGTTGAGTAACACAAGTAATATAATAAAAGAATGTGATGTTAAATGTGCTAAATCCTCTGGTACAGTAGAGGAATGTAGGCTTCCTGTTAATGAAAAGAAATTATTTATTGATGTTAAGAAACAAAAAAATGAACAGGTAATATAAAAATCTTCATTCATTCAATATTATAGTTTATTTCCTCTGATGTTTAGTTTTATTTTGACTCATTTCGCTGTGTCTTTACTTAATTAAAAGATTGCCTTTTTCTGTTTAATTATTTTTCAGTTTGTAAAACTGTCCGATCTGCAGAAGCAGTTCCCTCGTTTGGACTTGACTGTGGGTCCTTGTATGGTACATTCCATTCCCGAAAGTTCCTGGGTCGAGAGTCCCCTTTCTCTTTCCCGTTCGGCGACGTATCGCAGCGCGCCTCCACGTCCACCGGAGCCCGAACCCTACGAATTGTCTGATTCTGGTAGCTTTAGCGACATAAGCATTTCTCAAACAACTGGTCGTTCCGTCCAAAGGCTCGGCACCGATTTATTGCGAATGTTTCTGGAGGAAATCGGCCCAGATGTTACCATCGAGGTTGGAACTTATCGTCTAAGGGCTCACAAGTGCATCTTGTCCTCTCGTTGCCAGTATTTTGCCGCCGTTTTGGGCGGAAATTGTCTTGAAACAACTGGAAATGTTATACCTTTACATGTCAGTAGAAATTCTTAAGATTTGTTTTTTAAATTACATAATTATTATTGTTTTAGGGCTATTCGTATGATAGCGTACATTTTGCCATGTGTCACATCTACAGTGGAGCAGCTCATGTCCCTGAAAGTATTAATTTAGCGGAATTGGCTGCTTTGGCGGATATGTTAGGACTAGAAGGGCTTAAGGAAGTAGCTGCTCATGCCCTTAAGGTGAATATAGTTCCTCTTTCTATTTATTTGTTCTTTAGTTATTATTTTGTTTACAGTTGCGTTATTGCCACTCGTTTCACAAACCTTGCTCGGGATGTTCAACGGGGGTCCTGGAGATCCTCCCACTCACTGCAGCATACACCTTGGAGGATCTCTATCATAAATGTTTGCGCTGGATTACGCAAAACTTTGTACGGATCTGGCCCACAAGGGCCTTCGTGGCTCTGTCGAAAGAACTCCAAGAAAAATGTTACAAACAACATGTGGTTCACATGCATCCAGATACAGTTTTGGGGACGATTTTAAAGTGCGAAGAGCTCCTGGGGAACATCCCGGGAGCCAGATGGGCAGAGCCTGTCAACCGACTTGTTAAGCAACTAGCTATGTCCTGTCAACTTTATCTCACCCAGCATTTCTGTGAAGTTCTGTCTTCTTCTGCCATACCAGATTTGAATAATCAACATAACGTGAATATGTCGACTCTTGAGGAGAAAATGGTGGAAGCCGTGAGGACTTTGGGGCCCGACCACGCGTGTCACAGTTACGAGAGATGCTCCAAGCTCTTGGAGACCCAATCGTGGAACATGAAGACTCAAGAACTTCTCCAGAAAGTACAAACAAATCTAGAGCATTGCCTTTCTCGTCAAATGAGTAGAGTGGGTCAATGCCACGCGTGGAGCAAAATGAATCCTGCCTTGAAGGTCCGTATAAAAGAACTTAGTCGGTTACCTCGCCCCGTAAGGGTCGGTTCCCCAGTACTCAACTCCTTAAGGTCCTCACGTATTTCGAAATCATTAAAAACCGACAGTCCTGAACGTTATAACCCGGAACATGTAAAATTAACGAGTGCTATTAATTCTAGCATTCGCAGGAGTCTCTTATTGGCCGCAAAAGCCCCTCAAATGTCCACAAGCCTCTATGTACCCCGAGTAACGAGCACTCTAACGAAACCCACACAAAGTAGCGCTGCTAAAGCGGCTGCTACTAAAAGTTCTAACTTGAAGACTTCCTCTTCGAAACAGAGCGTCACTTCCACTGGAAGTTCGGTCAGAACAAGTAGACCTACATCAGAAAAGCCTTCCATAAGACCTTCTTCAGGAAATCGACATGGAATCAATAACAATAACAATCAGAGGCGACATAATGGCAATACAGTAACAGAAACTGGCAAAATCCTTCCCAAATCTTCTGCAAAAGCTAAGCCTGAGGTCAAAGGGCAAACTAGACCTGTCAGGACGAGTCTTTATGCCCCCCGAAGCCGATTAACGTCAGCAGATAGTAATAATAAACCACCCGTTAAGGAGCTTGTTATGAAAAAGAAGATTCAAGGAGGGTCCCAGGAGATGAGAAAGGCCTCTTCACGTGCCGCGTCTGCCCAGGTTAGTGCTTCCACTCAAGATAGGCGTAGGAGAAGGCCCGAAGTGAATATTAAGAAGGATGTGAGTGCCCCACAACAACAAAGTGTTTCAAAGTGCAACGGAAGTATCAGTTCTAGTGAAGAAAACACGTACACGAAAAGCGGAGAGATTCAGAAAGGATCTGATGGTGACAGTAGTAATGGTATTGTGCCAAGGATCACCAGGTCTGATACGTTCCTGAAGGAGAAACCGACAGTTCTGCCGCAAACAGATCAGTCATAATTAATTGGATGGGTAATTAATAAATCTAATTATTAATTAATCGATCAGTTACAATTAATGACCCATTGATTAACGTTTTTTTTTTTGTTATTCTGCCCTTTAGTTTTTTTTTTTTAATTACTTTCTAGTCATTTTCTCGAACCATCTTTCACCTAATTGCTTTGCAATTTCGTTATTTTTTTATATAAGCAAGCAATCTGTTACGATCTCTCTCTCTCGCTTTTACAAAAATATTAATTTTAATTCGGCGCGTTAATTAATTAACTTACTGTAGGCAGTAGAAATGATATTATTTAGTGATTAAGTACAAGTTCATACGTATACCAATGAATAATTAGATCGAATGCTTGTATAGAGTATTCACCTCTCAATTCTTTTCAAATCCATTTTTTTGATATTTCTACTAAAAAGGATTTATAAAATCAGTTTGTCGCCATAAATTAGTACAAATAAAACAATAAAGGGATTTAAACTAAATTAAACAAACAAAATTTTATAAAACTGGCATTTTGCTTTTACTTGAAAGCCCTTCAATTAATTTTGAAATGTTATCTGTTATAAACATTTACAACATTAAAAAATAAAGGACATTTAAGTTTAAAAGCAAAAACGTTTAAGAAAAATCTTTCAGCTTTAACTAATCGATTAATAAAAGGCAAAATATACTCCCTAAAAAATTATTTTTTAAAAAGTATATTTTGTATGAAGCCAGACTAATGTAANAGGTACCTAATATAAACAAAAAAAAAGTTTTGACTTCTTTAACGGTACCACACACACAAATGATTTTAGTTTTGAACCTGCCCTCTTTATTAAATATGTAAAAGGTTTTCGTGATAGTAAGAAATAAAATAAAAACATGAAAAATACTTGGTATCTTCAAGTACAATTACAATACGTAATATACATTTGTGGAATGTATGTTCACTGTTATACTATTTAATTTATTTACCAAATAAAAATGAAAGTAACTGTTGTTGAAATATAAAGATAACATAAACGAAAAAATCAGAGATTTATTTATTGTATTGACTACAAAAGGCCAAAATTAAGATAGTTTTTTAACTGGTTTGCAAGAAGTGGGACTTAAATCTCTACTTATGCTCTCTTTATTGCCTGATGCACTTTTAAGGACATTATATCACAAGAAAACACTTTCTTATTCGACTTTGTATTTTTATTTACGTTCTCATGTTATACATTAAATTGAAACAGTTTAGATTTAAGTACATAATTATAACGGATATGCACTTATTATTTGTCTGTGTTCTGTAATTAATATTAAAAAGGACGTATGTATGTAATTAGTATTTCATTTCAATTAAACTGCTGAAGATTCTGTCGAACAGTTAGTTTTCGAAGCAGCTTTGTATGGATAGGTTGGAATTTGCTTGAACAATTCTTATTTTTGTAAAAAAATGATGTGTACTTGTTATGTAAATAAAATTATAACTTATTTATCAACTGTTTTCTTGATGTAAGTCTTCAAAAATCCTTTTTTCGTATATTTTTGTAATTTTTGAAGTTTAAATAACCTTAAAATGTGTGATCATAGAGTACGGTCAGCGTAGGTAGGTGGCGCTATGTACTTCATTTTCGACTATGGTGGAAGAGCTATTCGAGATTCTGATTGGCTAATGCATTTACTTTCGGAGTTGGGCTCTGTTGTTTTATACGCCGTAAAGTTACGTTATTAAAAGTAGGTGATTTCATATATTTTGGACAAAAAAAAATAGAAAAACCAGTATACACGCGGCATACTAGAGATATGCAGTATCGAATGATCGCATTTTTTGTAACAGAGCCTCTACGATCGCGATTTATTTCGAGTTGCAAAAGGAACATACAGGAACTGTCCGCCATATTGGTAAGCAAGTTTTTACAGATGATGAGATGTTTAACAAAATACAACATTTAAACATTCAGTAAGAAGTCAAAAGACCTTACATGTTGCATTTTGTTGAACACTCTTTATTTCAGCAGATTTGCCTATGTATAATATGTATCGAACCATATACCTACTTAAATACACAATAGGGTTGCTTATCCCTACATGTGCCTAGGGAGTATATTTCGTTTTTAATTATTATTTGCTGGTGATACACATATGTTAGTATCTCATTCAGGCAGAATGGGATATTATCAAATAATATGTATTTTAATGTCTGCATACGAACAAGAACCTCATACGTAATCGTGTTGAGGAAGGGGGTGGCTATTCTTGTTAGTCCCTTGAAATGGGGTAGAAGGTTGAAAAACATTTAAGCAGACTATTTATTAATTCTTATTGTTATTTTCATACAGATATTGTATTTTTCACATCTTGGAAAACATGGAATTTCAGATATTTTAAATTGGGTTATAGAAGTCAGCGTATCTAAAAAGTTTCCAGCAGTAGTAAACTGTTACTGTTCTAGTCGCACTTAAATGAATTTAAATGTTCAAGAGAGCATAAATGTACTTTCATTCTAATCTTTTCCATTAAGACAGATCAAAAACTGTATTAATATTCTGAAACCAACTCTTATTGTGTACTAGACTTTACGTTTTTTGAGACTTTAAAGTAGATACCAAATAAATGGTACTTACTACTTGTTACATTATAAATATTTGTAACTTTTGTAAAAGCGTTATCTTTACTTTAGCGAAGTAACTTCAAAATTTCTCCTTAACTCGATTTGAAGTCACTTTTACAGTAGGAAGAGGCATCACAGACGAAGTACGTCTGACTTTAGGCTTAACAACAGTAATATTGTCTTTAAAACGAAAATTAAAAAGTAAATAAAGCAGAGATTTTTCGTAACTTAAATTCTCTCTAACTCGAAAGAAATGTAAGAAATATCAGTCAATTCATAGGAAAATTGTGGGAAGTTATATTACATACTATGCTCGTATAAATTACATTAAACCAATTGGCTTTTGTAAATAAAAATAGAAATGGACATTTTACTTAACTTTATTGTAGGTAGGTACGTTTTTTACATAAATATTAACAAGCATGTTTTCTATTTGGAAATTATTTGGTAGTTGGTTTGGTGAATATGAGTTATATCTTTACAGTGTTCTTAAAAAAAATACGTATTAAAGCAACTGCTTATAATTAAGGGGGCACAGTCCTCACTATCTATAAAATTGTTACTTCTGGAATTACAAAATCCAAAATAATTATTTTCAAAATGATTCAAATTCGGCGCTCACCATGGGGATGTTTTAAATCCAAAAGATACGTTCAACAGTTAGATACAATACGACCTGTTGAAAGATGGAAATTATGTTCTTATTGCAGTTTTTTCAACTTTAGCACCGGAGCCATCAGATTTTCCACCAATTTTAAAATTTTAAGTACGGGCCTGGAATTTTTACATTTTTTTTTGAAAAGAATTTACTATGTCGACACTATATTTATGACATACTAATTCTTGACGTTACTAATTTTTTTAAAAAAAAAGTTAGAATTCCAGGCCCGTACTTAAAATTTTATAGTTGACAACGGCATCGTTGCATAAAGTTGAAAAACTGCAATAAAAAATTGGTCTAATTATACCAGAAATATTTCGAGTTTTAAGAAAATCGAAAACTTTGATTTTTTTTCCAAATATATTACAAACCAAAAAGAATATTCTACAATTCTTAGTACGCACTACTTTGCATTTTATTATTCGCCTTTGCCTTCATCCCACCGTTTAGGAGATCTCCATGGTCGAATTTGAATCAATCTGTATAATTTTAGTTAATTAATATGTAACATAACTTAATATGGACGGAAGTTAATAGTAATTGAATTGAATGGGATTATTTTAATTAATAATGAAAAGTAGATTTCGGTTGTGGTTAATATTGAACCAATTTATTTTAGGTACCTAATATAAACAAAAAAAAAGTTTTGACTTCTTTAACGGTACCACACACACAAATGATTTTAGTTTTGAACCTGCCCTCTTTATTAAATATGTAAAAGGTTTTCGTGATAGTAAGAAATAAAATAAAAACATGAAAAATACTTGGTAGCTTCAAGTACAATTACAATACGTAATATACATTTGTGGAATGTATGTTCAAGCGCCGAAAAAATGATAAAAATATTACTTTTTCTTTGGTAACAGCATAAATAATAATAATAATATTTTATTAGACCATTAATGATTTTTTATGTATTATATACCTATACTTATATACATATATACCAATGTACATATACAATAGGTAGTTTGAATCAAAAAATAAAGCTAATAGAGTTTACTCTATTTTACAATTTTTTATCAAATAACAATCAGTAAAACAAAAGTTTCCGTTTGGGATATTATCTCTAAGAATAAAAATTAGGTAATACGCTGATTAGATCAATATATTTACACATAGGATGAAACTTTCTCATTCGTAAAATTAAGGTTCTTGTGTAATTTCAAAAAACGTATCACACTGCGCCTAGTTTGGGAAATAGGGTGGATGCTTATCGAGTTCAAAAGTGATTATGATGTTCGTAAAGATTATTTTTGGAACAATTCACATTTTCCTGTATACGGGGTGACCAAGTTTCTCATTAATAAAATTGAAAGGTCTGCAGTGTGATCAGCTATCAGGTCAGAATTCTGTCATTGTTGAGATGCACCCTGTATATATAAATGTATGAACATACAATACAGAGAGGTCTCGGAAAGGAATGCTACGATTACTGTATCACAGTTCCGCAACGCGGTGCGTATTATAATTATTTTTTGTACATGACATCGACAGGGTGAATTCGAAAGAAAGTCAAAAATATTATTTTTTATACTTGTGCAGGCAACAGCAATTGTTTCGCTACATTGTAACTTTATCAAAGTATTGTATTGTATGTTTCACATTATATTTAAAACTAAACCATCACGGAGGGGTGAACAGGTTTAGTAAAGGTGAACTATTTAAATTTAACACCCTGTTGTGTTTCCTTAATAACTATAAATGGTTGATATTTAAAGTGTAGACTAAAATCTGCAGTTGAATTTCTTTATGATTTGTTCTATATGTTCTATCACCCTGTATGTACTATATTTATAGGTACTTACATGTAGGGTAATTATTTGTGTCTTGTTTTTGACTTTCTTTCGCCTCATGGTTATTATAATTATTTAATTATAAACATCGATTGCACTATCTATATATAATAGTTTGTGATAGTCGTATTTCCAAAAATACCTCTTCATTTTTATGATTTGTTTTCTTTTTTTTTTCTGACTAGAATACATTACACAGGTAGCTACGATTAGTTAGGTAATGGTACATGTCACAGTCTTCTACAGCTATATCTCTAGAATATTTTGATACATCATATCGTCTCATTATATGTAGGTACTGTATATTAGTAATATTTTTTAGATAGGTACAACAACACTTTACAAATTAATCTGTTCTGCAAGGGGAAGGAGGTTGAGGTGGTGGTCTTATTTATTTATTTTTTTCGGTTGGAGTATGAGTATTGTGTTTGTCATTAATCATTTTTTCTTTGACATTTTTAATTACTAATAGTGATTAATATGCGATATTAATGTGAAAATTCATTTTTAATTTTCTATCTACTAGAAACTTCCTCAGCTTAATGAGGAAAAATGGTAAAGGTTTAGATGATAACCCCTTTCGGGGGTGGGGGGGGATCAAAAGAGGAGGTCTCCCCCACTACTGTACTATAAAAAGTTCGTGGCGGTCTCACCCCCATAAAAAGTTATGGGNACCCGCTGACAAATTATTCCATATGCATAATCCTTTCTTAGATGATCTACAGAGTTAGCATACAAAAAATTATTATGGAACAAGAACAAGTTCTCCTAAAAAACAATAATTTAATATTGGAGGGTTTGGTATCCTATAAATAATCCTTAGACCCGCTGACAAATTATTCCATATGCATAATCCTTTCTTAGATGATCTACAGAGTTAGCATACAAAAAATTATTATGGAACAAGAACAAGTTCTCCTAAAAAACAATAATTTAATATTGGAGGGTTTGGTATCCTATAAATAATCCTTAGACCCGCTGACAAATTATTCCATATGCATAATCCTTTCTTAGATGATCTACAGAGTTAGCATACAAAAAATTATTATGGAACAAGAACAAGTTCTCCTAAAAAACAATAATTTAATATTGGAGGGTTTGGTATCCTATAAATAATCCTTAGACCCGCTGACAAATTATTCCATATGCATAATCCTTTCTTAGATGATCTACAGAGTTAGCATACAAAAAATTATTATGGAACAAGAACAAGTTCTCCTAAAAAACAATAATTTAATATTGGAGGGTTTGGTATCCTATAAATAATCCTTAGACCCGCTGACAAATTATTCCATATGCATAATCCTTTCTTAGATGATCTACAGAGTTAGCATACAAAAAATTATTATGGAACAAGAACAAGTTCTCCTAAAAAACAATAATTTAATATTGGAGGGTTTGGTATCCTATAAATAATCCTTAGACCCGCTGACAAATTATTCCATATGCATAATCCTTTCTTAGATGATCTACAGAGTTAGCATACAAAAAATTATTATGGAACAAGAACAAGTTCTCCTAAAAAACAATAATTTAATATTGGAGGGTTTGGTATCCTATAAATAATCCTTAGACCCGCTGACAAATTATTCCATATGCATAATCCTTTCTTAGATGATCTACAGAGTTAGCATACAAAAAATTATTATGGAACAAGAACAAGTTCTCCTAAAAAACAATAATTTAATATTGGAGGGTTTGGTATCCTATAAATAATCCTTAGACCCGCTGACAAATTATTCCATATGCATAATCCTTTCTTAGATGATCTACAGAGTTAGCATACAAAAAATTATTATGGAACAAGAACAAGTTCTCCTAAAAAACAATAATTTAATATTGGAGGGTTTGGTATCCTATAAATAATCCTTAGACCCGCTGACAAATTATTCCATATGCATAATCCTTTCTTAGATGATCTACAGAGTTAGCATACAAAAAATTATTATGGAACAAGAACAAGTTCTCCTAAAAAACAATAATTTAATATTGGAGGGTTTGGTATCCTATAAATAATCCTTAGACCCGCTGACAAATTATTCCATATGCATAATCCTTTCTTAGATGATCTACAGAGTTAGCATACAAAAAATTATTATGGAACAAGAACAAGTTCTCCTAAAAAACAATAATTTAATATTGGAGGGTTTGGTATCCTATAAATAATCCTTAGACCCGCTGACAAATTATTCCATATGCATAATCCTTTCTTAGATGATCTACAGAGTTAGCATACAAAAAATTATTATGGAACAAGAACAAGTTCTCCTAAAAAACAATAATTTAATATTGGAGGGTTTGGTATCCTATAAATAATCCTTAGACCCGCTGACAAATTATTCCATATGCATAATCCTTTCTTAGATGATCTACAGAGTTAGCATACAAAAAATTATTATGGAACAAGAACAAGTTCTCCTAAAAAACAATAATTTAATATTGGAGGGTTTGGTATCCTATAAATAATCCTTAGACCCGCTGACAAATTATTCCATATGCATAATCCTTTCTTAGATGATCTACAGAGTTAGCATACAAAAAATTATTATGGAACAAGAACAAGTTCTCCTAAAAAACAATAATTTAATATTGGAGGGTTTGGTATCCTATAAATAATCCTTAGACCCGCTGACAAATTATTCCATATGCATAATCCTTTCTTAGATGATCTACAGAGTTAGCATACAAAAAATTATTATGGAACAAGAACAAGTTCTCCTAAAAAACAATAATTTAATATTGGAGGGTTTGGTATCCTATAAATAATCCTTAGACCCGCTGACAAATTATTCCATATGCATAATCCTTTCTTAGATGATCTACAGAGTTAGCATACAAAAAATTATTATGGAACAAGAACAAGTTCTCCTAAAAAACAATAATTTAATATTGGAGGGTTTGGTATCCTATAAATAATCCTTAGACCCGCTGACAAATTATTCCATATGCATAATCCTTTCTTAGATGATCTACAGAGTTAGCATACAAAAAATTATTATGGAACAAGAACAAGTTCTCCTAAAAAACAATAATTTAATATTGGAGGGTTTGGTATCCTATAAATAATCCTTAGACCCGCTGACAAATTATTCCATATGCATAATCCTTTCTTAGATGATCTACAGAGTTAGCATACAAAAAATTATTATGGAACAAGAACAAGTTCTCCTAAAAAACAATAATTTAATATTGGAGGGTTTGGTATCCTATAAATAATCCTTAGACCCGCTGACAAATTATTCCATATGCATAATCCTTTCTTAGATGATCTACAGAGTTAGCATACAAAAAATTATTATGGAACAAGAACAAGTTCTCCTAAAAAATAATAATTTAATATTGGAGGGTTTGGTATCCTATAAATAATCCTTAGACCCGCTGACAAATTATTCCATATGCATAATCCTACCCTAAATGACCTATAGAATTAGGATATAAAAAAATCATTATGGGACAAGGAGTACTTCTACTGAAAAATCGTAATTTAGTGTTGAGATTACATATAGGGTTTAGCCCCTATAAGTAACCGTTAATCTTACTGGAAAATTATTTCACTGTTCTAATCTTAATGTTAATCAGTCTTAGTACTTGGGATAGTAAAAATTATTGTGTAATAGAAATAACTTTCCCTGAAAAATAATAATTTAAATGTTGGTGGGTTTCGCTATAAACAACCTTCGGACCCGCTGGCAAAAGGGTACAAATATCAGTAGACAAAATTTAAAAGAAGTTTACTCTTTCCTGACAAGTGATCTGTGTGATCGTAAGTTTTTCGTTTGAATTGATGCTGGGTAGACAATAATTTTCGATGTACTTAGCGGTTGACGTGGTTCTAATTTGATTTTCGTTGCTTAGAATAGGAGCATTTCCAGCCTATAAATTTTCTTTAGCTTTTAATACGTCAATAAACACACCCAAGCCAATAATCCGCGTAAGGAGGGTAGCAACAGTTAACAAAATATCCATTAAGGGCACCATAACTCCGACAAAGGCCCGTGCTACTATTTTGCACAAGGAAAATTCTTCAGGGGGTTTCGAGAAGGAAATTGTGAATTCCACCCCCATCAGTAGCGATTTTTGCTAGTCGTACACACAAATTTAGGGAACTGAGCAGTTTTGTGTAATTTCAAAAAACGTATCACATTGCGCCTAGTTTGGGAAGTAGGGTGGATGCTGCTTATCGAGTTCAAAAGTGATTATGATGTTCGTAAATATTATTTTTGGAGCAGATAATATGTAACATAACTTAATGTGGACGGAAGTTAATAGTAGTTGAATTGAATAGGATTATTTTAATTAATAATGAAAAGTAGATTTCGGTTGTGGTTAATATTCGACCAATTTATTTTACGTAATATCATCATCAACATAAGGTCATCAGTCCTAAGACTGGTTGGACACGTACCTCCACTCTTTCCTATCCTGAGCTAAACTTCGCATTTCCCTAAAACTAGAACAGCCCACATCCTTAACTATTTGCAAAGAGTAATCTAATCTAAATCTACCTTTACCCCTCCTAACTCCTGTTTCTGCCTCTAATATGTCTCTGACTAGACTTTCATGCCTGAGAAGGTGTCCTACCAAGTTTTGTCTTCTTTAACGGTACCACACACACAAGTGATTTTAGTTTTGAACCTGCCCTCTTTATTAATTATGTAAAAAGTTTTCGTGATAGTAAGAAATAAAATAAAGACGTGAAAAATACTTGGTAGCTTCAAGTACAATTACAATACGTAATATACATTTGTGGAATGTATGTTCAAGCGCCGAAAAAATGATAAAAATATTACTTTTTCTTTGGTAACAGCATAAATAATAATAATAATAATAACATTTTATTAGACCATTAATGATTTTTTATGTATTATATACCTATACTTATATACATATATACCAATGTACATATACAATAGGTAGTTTGAATCAAAAAATAAAGCTAATAGAGTTTACTCTATTTTACAATTTTTTTATCAAATAACAATCAGTAAAACAAAAGTTTCCGTTTGGGATATTATCTCTAAGAATAAAAATTAGGTAATACGCTGATTAGATCAATATATTTACACATACGGGGTGGTCAACAACCGGATGAAACTTTCTCATTAGTAAAATTAAAGGATGTAACGTTCTTGTATAATTTCAAAAAACGTATCACACTGCGCCTAGTTTGGGAAATAGGGTGGATGCTTATCGTGTTCAAAAGTGATTATGATGTTCATAAATATTATTTTTGGAGCAATTCACATTTTCTGTGTCTTTTATTTTTTCAAATGTCGCGAACGCTGCCGCCAGGGTTCAGGTACTTGTGAACAGTATGAAATGTAACGAGTGCGTGCAGCGTGCCCATTGTACAAGTCTTTTGCGACAGTGGCATTTTGTTAACAATATCCTTATTTGGGAGGGTTGATTAAATGACCGGTAATGCGCACTCGAGGGTCGAAACAATGCACAATCAAGGCATTACGGCGTAAAAGGGGGGCGCACATTAAGAATAGCGACGACGGCGACGGCCGTTACCGGCGGCGACACGACGCGTCGCGACGCTTTTCTAGGGGTCGTATTTAAGTATTTTGTTGCTTTGATGAACAGAATAGCAAAATATCAATGGTACTGTTACTATAATGCATTTTTAAAGAATACTTCTCAATGATTCGAACGAATAATGGAGTATTTTTGATGTTCGTTCCCTTGGGTTTTACTATAAGGGGTGATGGAATAAATTGGAAAGTACAAAGTTAAATAAGTCACTGGTTTCTAATCATATCATAGATCACTATCATGAGGTGGTTGCTAGTCTTAAGGCTGATTGGACAGGACACCTCCACTCTTTCCTATTCTGAGATAATTTTTGCATTTCCCTAAAACCAGAACATCTCATATCCGCAACTATTTGTGAACAGTAATCTAATATAGGCATGAAGGTCTAGTCAGAGACATATTAGAGGCAGAAGCAGGAGTTAAGAGTAGTAGACCTAGATTATTTTAGTTTTAGGGAAATGCTAATATTAGCTCAGAATAGGAAGGAGTCTTAGGATTGACGACCTTATGTTGGTGATAATCTAATTTAGGTCTACCTCTACTCTTAACTCCTGTTTCTGCTTCTAATATGTTTACCGAGAAGATGTTCTAGCAATCTTTCTCATTGACTTCCAAAGTTCCCTATGTTCTCCTACTTTTTCTAATATCTCCTCATTTCTAATCTAAACAGGGATTTATTATTTTTTTTTTTATTCTACGCATGACTGTTGTTAAAACTGCTACTAAAGATGCTATTTTATTCAAATTTCGAAGTTAGGTGTATAGGTATTTAATAAAACTTTTCTGTCAAAGTAGACAAAGTTGTAAACGACTGCGCCCTTCTTTTTAAGCCAGCATGAACTGCTTCATTTTATTTTCGAGTAATGTATGTAAATCGCTTCGGATCGCAGTTACCATGCGTTCGACAAGGATAATTAGGGGATGCCTTTGAAGTGGTAAAAAGTCGTGACAGTCTGAAGAGTTCGTGCAAATAAAATCAAGTTAGCCTGTGTTTGTCACTTGTCACACCAAACGGTGGTGACAGTGTCATCTATAGTCACGACGTATCGGAAAAGTTGCTTAATAAACATTTCACGCCCCCCTTCCGTTATTTGAACATCGAACACAAACATTGATACGTTCCGCATGAACGGTGCATGGTATAAATGGTAGTAAAAGGTAATTTACCTGTTGAATTGGGCATTCCAGTGTGTGGTCCCATGAATCCACCCAATTTTGCGTGACCGTGATGGTAGGAACTCATGAAAAGCTCGCTCTGGTACTTGTAACTTCCTGGGTCACCGGAAGCTGGCTGTGTGGCCGCTGCTAAACCCTGAAAGTCGAATTTGTACGCGTACCTTTTACCATGCACTTTTGTCATTATATTTTTGTCGTAGTAATACCTGAAACAAAACAACAAATCAAATGATAAAAAGTGTTTTTCGGTATCAAAGATCAGGGACTGAAGAAAACTGTATATAAGACCCGGAGTATAATTAACGTTAGATTTAAAAAATTGCCATAGAGAATGTAAATAGTACCGGTTGCCGAACGACTCGTGAAGTAACATTCGTCCGTAAACAACACCCTTTGGAAAAAATTGGGCTTTGAGCACATTTTGTGATTGAAAATCAGTTTCCTGCAAGACTTACACTCGCTGCAAATGTTAAGGATGCAACACTACTAAGTGTCATGTCACTTGTTTGTAACATAAACCGAGTAAATCCAGATCCAATCCGTATTACGTAGTGATCCTATTCCAAACTATGATTTTTAGGTTATTATTAGACGAAAATTAGATCCAACATCTGAGTTCACCAGAGTTGAATCGAGATTTGAGTTGATTTTTATGGATATTGAACGTTAGTGTTCTATAGTTGTATCGGACTAGAATTTGTCCAGTTTTTTACTATTTCTTTTTGATATTGGGGGTCAAAGGGATGCGATATCGTTATTAGTTATTGGCAATCGATTGGTTACTCGATGGGGTGGCAGGAGAACCGGCCATTTCTCTCTCTCTCGTTCTCATTCCTTCGTTCTCTCGCAACTCAGAAAAAAGTCGTTGAAATTCGATAAAAACCGAATCCGAAAAATAATTTGCCATCGGAAAAACAATCACGTCCCCAACTGCAGAAATGGGTCGGTAACTGCATTAGTGTTCGGGCATATCTGCCGCTAATTGCTAAGGGTGGTCGGGCGGTAGTAGCGGGGGCGAACCGGGGGTGACCGTCACGACCTCTGCCGCCGAGATTGCACGCTCGGCCAGACGAGTAGTGGTGCACAACCCCAGGGTGGAACGCCGCCATCCGTTGCACGGACGGCTGCGATATATGTTATGACGTCCGCGACCGTCGGCGGTTGTGAAGGGACGGGGTGGGGTGGTGGTGAGGTGTAATGGGGGTTTTATTCAGTCAGATGTCAACTGTCCAGTTGAACATACGTATGACTGAAAATAGGCCACAAAACTCAGGAATTTATTTGTTATTAGAATGGTAGATTTCAACAAGGTTTACGTAGGACAAACTGACAGATCTTTCAATCAAAGCATTCTTGAACATCAAAGAAGCTTTAAGCAAGGAAAAATCGATTCCAACTATGCCGAACATCTAAATTTATATAAAAGCATTTTGATAATAAATTTAAAAAATTCAAAATTTATAGACAAATTTATTTACAAAGTTATTGTATTTGCTATTTTTTTACTTCAAAACCATTCCCATTCTTTGACCTTCCATTGGAAGCGTAGTGTTTGAGGCGCTTTAAAACTTCTTATCAGCAAGGATTTATAGGGTTTTCGTGCAAACGGTGCAATGAATTAAGTTAATCTTTCGCAGACGTTAAAGTAGAAATGGCGATAATTTTATTGAAATTGCAATTTGATTAACAGAACAGACAGATATTTTTCACTTACCTAAGGGCTCTACTGAGCTTGTCGTAGTTCATATTAGGTTTTGATTTTCTCTCACCCCATCGACGTGCTACTTCGTCGGGGTCGGTCAATTTGAACTCTCCGTTCGTTCCTTCCCATGTAATACACGCGGAATTCGAAGAATCGCTCAAAAGCTCCAGAAGAAATTGCCATAACTGTATTTGACCCGAACCTACATCAATAAAATTAAATGGAAATGTATTGTATTATTAAGGGTTCATTAATAACTGAGTTTCATTTTGAATTTTGCAGTAAAAAATTAATGGTGTTTATTTGAAGATTTTAATTACCAAATTAAGCCGCTCATTCTCCGACACGAATAAGGCCATTACAATATTTCATCCCCTAATAATGATGACATTCCTTAACTGCTTTATGTATCATTTAATTTAATTTTCGGTCATTAATTAAGACAGCAGCGAATATAACACATACACACACACCATAATGACGGTTACAGCAACAAAAGGATATTTAACAGATTAGTCACGGTTACGGAAAATTCGTATGAAGGGGGAGACAGGGGTTTCGATTACATGAATATGCGTGAACTTAATCATAGTAACGGACCGATATAGATCTTATCGCGGGGGTGGCAAGGGTCCGTATCCAGAGTACAAAACTCCTTGCCTTACCATGGTATTGCATATAAATAAATTGTCCCAGTGGTGGCGTGTAAGTATTGAAATGTTACAACCTTTGTAGTCAATTCCTTAAATAGTTATACGTCATTAAAATGTATTTATATGCAGCCAACTATACATCCGAGTGTAAACATTTAAACCCGACTTCTTAACTGCAATTGTTTACTTCCACCTAGAATATGTCAACAAAATTAGCGATTTTATTGTACACATATTCAAAATTATTAATAATATCGCCGATTTGACTTTGTATTTTGTGTTGTTTAGCTTTTTATGGGCAAGCTGCCACTGGTAAAAGATATACAATAATTATTATTAGAGTGTATGAATGTGTGTACGAGTGTGTCGTGTAGTATATATATGGGTACGTTCGTCAAGCGCGACCAATTGGAATTGCAAATATTATTTAAATTGCAAATGAGCGTTGGCCGCGGGGTTGAAAAAGGAAACTGTAGACTACAACACATACACATAAACACAAGGCGATACGATTTAAAAACATGCACCTGGAAATCCGACGGAAATTGTAACACATGCTCTCCGTTGCGTTTTTGCATTTTTTCCCTGATGTTTTCTTTAATTGTTGTTATTGAAAATCGTCTACTAAATTACTAAATAAAAAGGCGACCAGGGCAGCTTACGGATTACCCCGTTTTGTTTTGCTTTGCTTGTTGTAATGTCTATGAGTAGCAAGTATAAAAAAAAGAGGGCGACACCGATGTGGAGACCATTAACGCCATCTAGAAACATTAAGGGTTCTCGGCTCCGATAAAAAAATTACAATGCAATAGTTGGAGCCGTCAGATGCAACGCCCTGTAGTGAATATACACGGATGTCTACGTAAATCTATTTGTGCGGAGGTGTGGTGGTAATTGGACGTCAAGTTTGCATGTCCGGGGTCGAGTCGACCTGGTAAAATCAGATTCGACGACCCCGTATCGGCCGGTGACGTCAGGTGACACGTGACGGCGCGTGTCCGGTCATAGGTGGCCGGTCCCTTGGGAAACAAAAGCCAAACGATGCAAAAGCTGTCATTAAATAAACATTAGCTTCGGGGGCTAATATCATTTAGCGTCGCGTTTTCACGTGTCGCACCCCCGAGATTGTAAATCTGGTCGACGAACACGCCCCCGCATATTCGTTCGACTCCCCCTTCTCTTCCCTTCTGCAAAACCTATAAGTTACAACTACAAGTCACCTTTATCAACGGCAACAAAGAGATGTCATGGCATCGATTGACCGGCTCGTCATTTTCGGTAAATTTACCTTAAGTAATTATTTTTTTTTTTGTATATTATAATTAATAAAAACCAAGACTACTAATCAGTAGTAAAGTGTTACCAACCACAGCAAATACGTAGGGATGATATAGGTAGGCTTCTTTGGGTGTGTTCCGAAATATAACCCAGCATGCTGGCCAGTGCTGATGACGTCAAGAATCGACGCCATATTGTACTGGTGTGCCACCATATTGTACTGGTGAGACAAGTGCAACGTAGTAGTATATCAAACGGGCGTGCGTGCATCAGACTTTGAGGAATTTTTTATTGTAAGAAACATTAGCAACTTTTGGAACAAAATTGTTGCAAACGACCACAAACACTATTCTCAATATGGTGTCAATGTGACGTCAACGCACTGTCCAGTATATTTCGGAACAAATCAACAGTATAGCGTCATTCAGTATGCTGGGTTATATTTCGGAACACATTCTTTATCTGTCCGATCGTTCATATTTTAAGGTTACGTGTGACGTCATGATTACGTCAGTCTAAAGTTTTCTTTAATAGACTATACTTATGTATTATGTTGCCAGCTTAACGAGCTTATAAATTGGCTTACCTGAACTAGCCAATCGACTGCTTGTGGGTCCAAACATTTGATACGGATCTAAAAAGAAAAGTTGTATCAAAAATTGTGACAATAAACTTTAGCCTTACAACTTGTTACATAAAAACCGTTAAGTTGCAAACTGCGACCAAAGGACGCAACTAATTGACCTAAAGGGTTTAACACTCGAGGAAAATTGGTCAACAACTATGTTCATTAAGGTTTCTTTTTTGCGTCGACCCTTCGAGCACTTCTCCTAACGAACGTTGAGACTTCTTGAGACTATCGACTTTGTAGGGGCTAGGACCTCAGTGTAATAGCGTTAAATGTAGTAAGAAAATAATTTCATTAATGTCTTAACCTTTTTACTTTTATGATGAATTACATCCACCAAATTTCTATTATTTTTATTTGAGTTATTCAGTGATTAGAAGGTTTGCAACCAAATATACACCCGAATTCTGTCCAATCAATTCTTTGCAATTTTTAATTACCAACCGGAATGTTTTAATTAAAAATTGTGACTATGATGCATTTCATTGAATTCATAGTTTACAACGCCACGGGGGATTGAAGGCGCTAATATCGATTTCTATAGCTAAACGCGGAGATCTATTAGATTTCGCTTGGGGGTGGTGGTGGTGGTGGTAGTGATGACGGCAGGGTGACCGATTGCCTACTATATGTATGTCGATGAAGTGTAGGGTAGCGGTAGGGTATTTGGGAAGCTGTTGACATTGCGAAATTCTTTCATATGTAGGTTGCAGAAGAAGTCTGAAATGTATTTGCCTGTCTGGACGAGCAATACGACGAACGCAAACAAAAGCGAACACGGTTCAATTAAGCGGGAGGAAAAGATTTCAAAATAAACACCAACGAAAACTTTTATTTGCCAACAGTCTGATGATGGTTAAGGTCCGTAAAAATAAAAGAAGGAACGGTCAATCACTAGTCGATACCTAAACTGAAGGGACTTTTCAAAACTTAATTTTTAAGGCGGAAATGAAACAGGAAATGCAGATTTTTGGGAACGTCTTTTTAAATGTAAAATCTTGTTATCATAAAAAAAAATCTGTTTGAATGATACCCAACATGATATACGATATACGTAGTGTGACAGACGGACAGATACACAAGAAACACTGACTCCAACATTTCCTAATTTTATTAAGAGAAACTGTAGATTAAAAAGCTACTACAAACGACAAACATCCCATAGGAAAAAGTTCCATTAAACTTCAACGGGAATCAANGGTTCTTGTGTAATTTCAAAAAACGTATCACACTGCGCCTAGTTTGGGAAATAGGGTGGATGCTGATATATGTATATATATATATATTAAATATATGAGGTAGTTTGTAGTGGATGAAAAATCGAAAATTAATTTTCACATTAATATTCCTTTTTTTTTGTTAAAATTTTTCGTCCGTTTTCCACTTGCGTACGTACGTAATAAGGGTGGCGGGTTTTCTTATTCCTATTGGAAACATTTTAACCTGCCTCACATGGCTCTTGCTTCTTCTATTTTGCATTCGGTAACACGCAATTCAATCGTTCGTTATTTTCACAGCGTTCTCGATACAATCTGCAGCTATTTATTTCTCTCTTTACGAACGAAAATAGTCACTTCCGAAAATAGTAAAAGCTGGACGACTCGCCCGTGCATAAACTGAAATTGCACACAACTTTTCCTTTGCAATCGCACATTGTGTCCGTAATGTCACTATTGATCTGTTATTGATCTTCAGTTGCTCAATTTATTGTAACTTGACTTTTGAATATCCTAGTAAGTTTAAGGGTATTACCAGGATATTTGAAAGCCAGTCTAGTATCGAATGTCCCACTGTTTTTATTATTATTACTTTTTTTTTTTAATATTCTCGTAATCGATTGGAAAATACTAATAATATACATACGTTTTGTCTACTACCGTATTGTTAGGGATGTGGCCGCATATTCTCTTGATGTTTTGGATGTTTTTGCATTTTCAAAATGTCGATGTGTTGATTACTGCAGCCACTGAAACTGGTCATGCATAGTGGGGGTACGAACTGAGGGGGGGCGCTGCCAAATGGGGGGCCGTGTGGTGACTTATGGAGTGGGTACTCGCCGCAATATTCGAATACAGGTTCGCGCCTGGGTTGCTCCAGTATGAACCCGGACTGGGAAATATCGAAGCTGAAAGCAGAGAGAAATTATCTCGTGGGGGTAATCCGTAGAGTTAGGATATCAAAAATTATTGTCGAAAAGAAAAATTCCCATTGAAAAAAAACATAGTTTAATATTGAAGGGTTTAGCACCCTATAAGTAACCTTTAGACTCTCTGATAAATCATTATAAATCATATTGGAGGGTTTCGCATCTTATAAATAACCCTCAGACCCGCTAACAAATTATCCCACAGGCATAATCCTTTCTTAAATGATCTACAGAGTTAGCATACAAAAAATTATTATGGAACAAGAACAAGTTCTCCTAAAAAATAATAATTTAATATTGGAGGGTTTGGTATCCTATAAATAATCCTTAGACCCGCTGACAAATTATTCCATATGCATAATCCTTTCTTAGATGATCTACAGAGTTAGCATACAAAAAATTATTATGGAACAAGAACAAGTTCTCCTAAAAAATAATAATTTAATATTGGAGGGTTTGGTATCCTATAAATAATCCTTAGACCCGCTGACAAATTATTCCATATGCATAATCCTTTCTTAGATGATCTACAGAGTTAGCATACAAAAAATTATTATGGAACAAGAACAAGTTCTCCTAAAAAATAATAATTTAATATTGGAGGGTTTGGTATCCTATAAATAATCCTTAGACCCGCTGACAAATTATTCCATATGCATAATCCTTTCTTAGATGATCTACAGAGTTAGCATACAAAAAATTATTATGGAACAAGAACAAGTTCTCCTAAAAAATAATAATTTAATATTGGAGGGTTTGGTATCCTATAAATAATCCTTAGACCCGCTGACAAATTATTCCATATGCATAATCCTTTCTTAGATGATCTACAGAGTTAGCATACAAAAAATTATTATGGAACAAGAACAAGTTCTCCTAAAAAATAATAATTTAATATTGGAGGGTTTGGTATCCTATAAATAATCCTTAGACCCGCTGACAAATTATTCCATATGCATAATCCTTTCTTAGATGATCTACAGAGTTAGCATACAAAAAATTATTATGGAACAAGAACAAGTTCTCCTAAAAAATAATAATTTAATATTGGAGGGTTTGGTATCCTATAAATAATCCTTAGACCCGCTGACAAATTATTCCATATGCATAATCCTTTCTTAGATGATCTACAGAGTTAGCATACAAAAAATTATTATGGAACAAGAACAAGTTCTCCTAAAAAATAATAATTTAATATTGGAGGGTTTGGTATCCTATAAATAATCCTTAGACCCGCTGACAAATTATTCCATATGCATAATCCTTTCTTAGATGATCTACAGAGTTAGCATACAAAAAATTATTATGGAACAAGAACAAGTTCTCCTAAAAAATAATAATTTAATATTGGAGGGTTTGGTATCCTATAAATAATCCTTAGACCCGCTGACAAATTATTCCATATGCATAATCCTTTCTTAGATGATCTACAGAGTTAGCATACAAAAAATTATTATGGAACAAGAACAAGTTCTCCTAAAAAATAATAATTTAATATTGGAGGGTTTGGTATCCTATAAATAATCCTTAGACCCGCTGACAAATTATTCCATATGCATAATCCTTTCTTAGATGATCTACAGAGTTAGCATACAAAAAATTATTATGGAACAAGAACAAGTTCTCCTAAAAAATAATAATTTAATATTGGAGGGTTTGGTATCCTATAAATAATCCTTAGACCCGCTGACAAATTATTCCATATGCATAATCCTTTCTTAGATGATCTACAGAGTTAGCATACAAAAAATTATTATGGAACAAGAACAAGTTCTCCTAAAAAATAATAATTTAATATTGGAGGGTTTGGTATCCTATAAATAATCCTTAGACCCGCTGACAAATTATTCCATATGCATAATCCTTTCTTAGATGATCTACAGAGTTAGCATACAAAAAATTATTATGGAACAAGAACAAGTTCTCCTAAAAAATAATAATTTAATATTGGAGGGTTTGGTATCCTATAAATAATCCTTAGACCCGCTGACAAATTATTCCATATGCATAATCCTTTCTTAGATGATCTACAGAGTTAGCATACAAAAAATTATTATGGAACAAGAACAAGTTCTCCTAAAAAATAATAATTTAATATTGGAGGGTTTGGTATCCTATAAATAATCCTTAGACCCGCTGACAAATTATTCCATATGCATAATCCTTTCTTAGATGATCTACAGAGTTAGCATACAAAAAATTATTATGGAACAAGAACAAGTTCTCCTAAAAAATAATAATTTAATATTGGAGGGTTTGGTATCCTATAAATAATCCTTAGACCCGCTGACAAATTATTCCATATGCATAATCCTTTCTTAGATGATCTACAGAGTTAGCATACAAAAAATTATTATGGAACAAGAACAAGTTCTCCTAAAAAATAATAATTTAATATTGGAGGGTTTGGTATCCTATAAATAATCCTTAGACCCGCTGACAAATTATTCCATATGCATAATCCTTTCTTAGATGATCTACAGAGTTAGCATACAAAAAATTATTATGGAACAAGAACAAGTTCTCCTAAAAAATAATAATTTAATATTGGAGGGTTTGGTATCCTATAAATAATCCTTAGACCCGCTGACAAATTATTCCATATGCATAATCCTTTCTTAGATGATCTACAGAGTTAGCATACAAAAAATTATTATGGAACAAGAACAAGTTCTCCTAAAAAATAATAATTTAATATTGGAGGGTTTGGTATCCTATAAATAATCCTTAGACCCGCTGACAAATTATTCCATATGCATAATCCTTTCTTAGATGATCTACAGAGTTAGCATACAAAAAATTATTATGGAACAAGAACAAGTTCTCCTAAAAAATAATAATTTAATATTGGAGGGTTTGG